TGCCTTCTGGGAACACTACAATCTCTTTATTCCCTTCCTTCCTTGACCTCATAGACTGTATCAAATACAATTCAAATAAAATTCATAATGAAAACTTTTCCTTGCTTGAATAAGTGACTCTAACAAAAAGATTTTGGGTGGATTATCATTCATCGGTTTTAGCACCTTCTGACGGATAAAGGTGGAACCAACCACCACCAAGGCGACAGGGCTTGGACAAGGTAGCGCATGGCAGGCGGAGTTATATAACACAGTCCAGTCACGATAGCAACGGCAACCCAAAAGATGCAAGAAATAAACGCCAGGAACTGAGTGAAAGCAGACTCTCAGGTTTTACACACTCAGGCCCGCAATGGTACTTACTATTCACGATAGCAAAGGGATCACACCACCAAGCCCATGACAGGAGCTGTGACGGTCTTGACAAGGAATGTGTTAGACCATATGATACACCGGGATGAACCCTTAGGTGCTCATAGCAAGGGACCTACGCCCGTCACATAAACACAGCTGTGCTGTACATCCACAATCAGGGGAGTCACATTTCTGGAGACGAAAAGTGCAAGCGTAGTTTCCAGGGGCTGATAAGAGAGAGTGGAGTTAACTGTTCAATGAGTATAGAATTTAAGGCTTGCGATATTAAAAGAGTCCGGAAGAAATGATGGTAAGGGTTGCACACTGCAATGTGAATAGATAGACTTAAAAGGGTAAATGTTACAGACATTTCACCAAAATAAGAGGACGGGGGTAAAGGGCCTGCAACAAAGATTTTTCATTGCCGTTTCAGTGTGATTGGTTTGGCCTGGCTTGGTTTAGTTTCTGTTTTCTGAGACAGAATCCAACTCAGAAGTTCAAGCTAACCTAGAACTCATTACGTAGCCCCGGCTAGCTTCAAACTCACAGTAATTCTCTTACCACAGTCTCTGGGAATGGGAATACCACGGTGAGACACCACACCACAATCAGTGTGATTTTTTAAAAAAGATTTCTGTTCATTATTTTAATAACACATCTTGCTCACAACACACGTGCCCTTGCCTTTGATCTTTCACAAGATTACTCTTGGCTTTTGCCCTCCAGCGAGGTGAATGGTTACAGCGCCCACCTGCTCTTGCGAGCAGGGATAGCTACCTGGAAGTTCTGGCTATAGGCAGAGAGAATATGGAGTGGACTCCCGGGAGAACTACTACATCCCTGGTCACAGTGCTGAGTGACAATGAACATCTTGCTGGTGGCCTCTCTCCTTTTGTCCAAGAAGACAGAAGCAGTCAGGTCCCTAAGCAAGTAGTCAGCCTTGGGTTTCCTATCTATAAAGTTGAGTGGAGAAAAATTAAGTCCTTCTTATATAACCCACAGACGTTCTCTTACTTCCTCCTAAACTCAATCATAATGCCACTGAGGACAATTCAAAGGAAGACATTCGGGAAGCCTTCTGGAGTGCAAGAAGAAGTGGCAACACTCTCCCTCTCTAAACTGACTACTAAGAGTGAACTGTAACAGCCCATGTCACGTGCCCTTCGTACTGATTGAAGAAATATCCAAAAGACAAAAATTGAAATAATGAGATGAATGGATGGACGAGGAAGCTCTACCCACCAATCACGTCTTCTCATACTAAAACTAACATTTGGTAAGCACATACGCATGTCAATCTCTCACGTGTTCACTCCGTACATGTTCTTATTTCACCTTGACTATCTTTTAACAAGAAAGCCTATTTTCCTAACTACCTTAGAAACTGGGGTTTTAAGGACTTGTTTTGATCCATTTATTTGTATGTATGGTTGTATGTTTGTATGCTTCTACATGAGTGTAGGCACATGTGTATACATGGGTGCATATGCACCTGTACGTCCATGGAAGCCAGAAGAGAGCTACTTAAGTTACAATCACATCTGTGTGTGGGTGCTGAGATCTGAATTTCAGTCTTCAAGACTTCACAACAAGTGTTCTTAGCCACTGAGCCATCTCTCCAGGTCCAGGGAATGTGTGCTTGTTTGTTCTTAATTTTTTAAGGTTTATTTTAGGCTCATGAATGTTTTGCCTGTACGTATGTATGTGTACCACATGCAAGCCTTGAGCCGAAGATGTCAGAAAAAGCCATTGGATCCCTTGGGGCTGGAGTTATAGATGACTATCAGCCACTACGTGGGTGCTGGGAACTGAACGTGGGTCCTCTGCGAGAGCTGCGTCATTTCTCCAGCTGCACAAACTGTGTTTTGATAGCCTGCGGGCATGTCCACTTTGGGGCCACACCCAAAACTGAAAACTACTTATAACATGGTGAGAAGTTTTTTCTTTTTCAGTGTATGAGTGTGTGTGTGTGTGTGTGTGTGTGTGTGTGTGTACTTCTCAAGCATGAACTTTGTAGATGACAAATCTCAAATGTCATCTTGTCAAAAAGCTGAACAAAGCTATATGCTTTAAACCTATCTACTCTGATTTTCCTCCCACGTACAAGAAGAAGAAAAGGGTATCCCCTCCCCAACAGTGGCTGAGAATAAGTGCTAATCTATTCTGCATACACATAAGGGTTAATTATAAAAAAAAAATCTATCACCATCTGCTGAAGGACAAGGTACTGCAGATTCCCAAATGCAGTGAACGTCAGTTTTCCATGAAGAATTCTCTTCAAATAAAAGTCCAGGCTTAAGCTGGGTGGGAATCTGGTCATTGAGAAGACCAACCACTGTGTTCTCAAGGCCCCATGAACTGCCACCTTGTTACCCTAAGTGATGAGGGCACTTGTCCTCCTAGGCCAAACGGCAGGACAGCCTTCATCCTGCACGAGGTTCCCACACCTACAGCTACCCACCTGCTCTGCCCTCACTAGGACATGAGATCATGGACACAGTTCTAGGGAAACCGCAGTACCCGTCACATCTTCTCAGTCTGGGTGCACTTAAGCAAGCTGTCCTAAGAAGTCGCGGAGTTGCTTCCTATGAAACAGCAATGCTAACGGACCCATCAGCTGGCTGAGCAATTCAGTCCAGAGTCAAACTTCATGCTGCAGATTTCCTCAATCAAATTTAAAGATTAGTACTATCATTTCATTTGGATTTGCAAAACTATCTGAAAATGTATTACACAGCTAGCCGTATTTATAAAGATTTACCCAAACAAAATGAAAATGCAAACTGCTTTCTCTCCCCTGTAAGGAGAAATCAATATTAATGCATTTGCACAGCTTTCCAGACATTTTTGCCTATTTTTTTTTAACAAAAATGAAGATAGATAGTAAATATAGCATTTATTTCAAAATACATTATGAACAAGCTTTCCGTTATAGATATGTTCTTTAATAATATCATTTTTAAAGCGCCATTCATATTTTGTTGCCTGGAAATTAATGTATTTATCAGTATTCCCAATAGCTATTTCTTGTGTGTGTGTGTGTGTGTGTGAGTGTGTGAGTGAGTGTGTGTGTGAGTGTGTGAATGAGTGTGTGTGTGTGCGTGTGTGCGTGTGTGAGTGTGTGTGAGTGTATGTAGCCTTGTGTTTTGGGGTTTTGTTTTACTTTTGAGATGGAGTCTATCTCTGTAGCCCAGGTTACACTGGAACTGGCTATGTAGTCCAGGATGGCCTCAAACTCATGGGCATTCCTCCCTTAGTTCTGAGATGACAGGCACGAGACAGCCGAACACTGGGAAATCACACAGATTCTGTGGAAGTGAACACCCACTCTAGAGAGAAGAAGCCCATGACCCGGACTATTACACACTCTAAATGTTTCTCTCAATCATTTAATTTTATAATCATCTTTATAATAAATGTATATTATACATTTTTGGACATATGTGTTCATTTATTGATTCATTGAAAAGCAAAAATTGTGTTGTTATTGTTGTCTGAAACAAGGCTTGATGCTGTATCCCAGGGTGGACTGGAACTCACAATCCCCTACCTCCAGGTCTCCACTGACTAAAGCCGTTCGTCACCACACCTTTACAACAAATTCCTTAAAATGACAGCCAAACAGACACATAGTAGGTAGGCTTCTACACAATCAACAGCTTCCTGCCTGAGAAAGAACCCTCTTGTCTCTCTAGATTCGGCTTCCTCTGCCCAAATCCTGTCATTGTGGGCTTCTCCCTCATGTGATTTCTCACTTGCACAGAATCTCTGTGTGATCTGCCAGTGCTCCACTCTCTACTCAAACCTCTGTTTATAAATTATGAAATCACGTGTGGTGGCTCTAAGGTATGTCCACAGGTGGCTGGTGGCTTCATTCCTCACGTCTGGGTGGGGGTGGACTAGGTGACTCACTTTTGACAAAGACAATATGGCAGCTGTGGGGACAGTATGGGGCTCGCCAAAGACACCTGCAGGTTTCTATTTGTGCTGGCTCTAGAAGAAGCTAGCAACCACATTGTGAAGACTCAAAAAGATAGAAATGGCAAAACTGTGGCCTCTCAACTTTACAAGAACCTATAACCAGGCCCTTCTTGAAGAAGCCTTGTACACAACCCATCTTAGGAGCAGATGTTCCAAACTCGGTAGAGCCTTGGGATGATATCAACCCTAGCCAACAAGCGGCATGCAGCCTCCTGAGATCCTGGGACAGAATGACCTGCATATGCCACTGTCTAAGTCTGGAACAGAAACCTGCATGACATCACAGATATTTGTGAAGGATTTTTTGTTGTTGTTGTTGTTGTATTTTTTAAAATATTTTATTTTTATTTTACATGTAAAGATATTTTGCCTGCATGTATGTTTGTGTACCATGGGTATGCAGTACCCACGCATGCCAAGAGAGGGCGTTGATCCTCTGGAACTGGAGTTAAGAACAGTTGTGAAGCACCATGTGGGTGTTGGAAATCAAGCCTGGGTCCTCTGGAAGAGTATACAGTGTTCTTATGCACTGAGCCATTTCTATAGACTCACATATTTGATTTAAGCTGACAAATCAAAAAGTAAATTGTCTAGCTGTAATAGAATACTAATACAGAATTGCTATTTAATTTTAAGATAAGTTGTTTTTTTGTTTTTTTTTTAAATATAAGGTATTACTTTTATTAAATAAGTAGTATTTATTTTTGTACAGTGTTGCAAGCGACTCTTCAGCTCGTCTAAAGGCAGCACTGGCTCCTCCCACTCGTCTATAATGTTAGTTAGCCTGGATTTAGTTCCAGGAAATTGGGGAGATTTCTTCATATTTCCCCAGATCTGTATACTACAAATGGACTTCAGAGCACGAAAGTAAAATGAAAGTGAAAACATATAAAAGAACAGTTCTAAGTACTGACAAGTTTTCTTTGGAATTAGGTAAATTTTGGCTTCTTCTCAATACTCTGTACCCAGATCCACAGCCCTGGAAGAGCTGAGTGGAGGTGGAGGATACATTCATGTAACAGCAAGGTGACTGTGGCCGGCTCCAACAAGGGCACAATGGCGACAACCGTCAGGACTGACGCGGTCTCAGTACTGGACTGTGGGCACTGGTGGGCATCAGCAGTATAGTCAACACGTCTGTCCCCAAGGAGAGAGATTCACAGAAAGAGATGCCAAGCAAGTGGTGTGGAGGAATAAAGCACAGGCGACACTCAACTCTGAGAAGATTATCTTTTTGTCTGAAAATAGTGGTTCTCTGAAGCACGGAATGTCTTAATGGGGCAGTTTCTATTCAGACATCTGAGGAGGCTTCAGTGAAGACTCCGGCCAATCGTACACGTCCGGGAGCAGGGAAACATAATCACTCCGCCATATTCTTTCTTTAACGTACTTGGCCTTGTCCTCAGGCTCTGGGTATCGGAAAGCCATTTTGTTAGCATACAGGTATTCTGCAACTTTAATAGCGATGTTAACAGAAACTTCCTGGATGTTAGCAAGTGATGGGTACAGCCTCCCTTGGGCTAACTCTGCATCGGTCAACTGACTTGTCAGTGCCTTTGCAGCTTCCAAGAAAACACTGTCACTGATGTGCCGGGTCTGACAGAGAATAACTGCTAAAGCCACACCTGGGAAAATATACGCATTGTTTCCTTGGCCCGGGGTGAAGACTCGTCCATCCTGGAGCTGCACTGGCTCAAACGGGCTGCCACTGGCAAACAAACACCTGCCCTCTGTGAGTGTATATGCTTCTTCAGCTGTGCACTCAGCCTGTGCTGTGGGATTACTTAATGCAAATATTATAGGCCTTTCATTGATAGAGGCCATGGACGTGATTACGCCAGGAGTAAAAAGCCGGCCAGCACCTGCCACTCCAATTATAACTGAAGGCTTAAGTTCATTTACTGCATCTTCAAAAGTTCCAGGTATGTTCCCAGGGACACAGTGAGCAAACGGTTCCTGGTTACTATCTATGCTAGCAGCCCGCCCCTTAACTAGTAAGCCGTTCTTGTCGAACATCCAGACCTTCCTCCGTGCCTCCTCTTCTGAGAGGCCACTTTCCACCATAGACATGACTATAAGGTTTGCAATTCCAAGGGCGGCCTCTCCTGCTCCAAGAAATAAGATTTTGTGTTCTGAGACTGGTTTATTAATAACTTTTTGGGTCGCGAGAAGACCCGACAAAGCAACTGCAGCCGTCCCTTGAATGTCGTCATTGAAAGTACAGTATTTTTCTCGATATTTTCTTAAGAACCTGAAGGCATTATGATTCCCAAAGTCTTCAAACTGGATGAGTGTGTTCCGTCCATACCTGTCAGTAATCGCCTTCATAAACTCATCAGTCAGGTCGTCATACAGTTGGGAACGATCTCGTTTCTGATACAAGCCCATATAAAAGGGATCTTTTAATAGTGCTTTGTTATCAGTTCCCACGTCGATACACACAGGCAGGCATTTCTCGGGCTGTATTCCTGCACATGCTGTGTACAAACAAAGCTTCCCAACGGGGATCCCCATCCCATAGACACCCAGATCTCCAAGACCCAGAATTCTCTCTCCGTCAGTCACCACGACAGCCTTAACGTGGTTTTCTGGCCAGTTATCCACAATCGATCTGACATGACCTCTGTCTGAGATTGAAATAAACAACCCCTTAGGTCTTCTAAAAATGTGCCCATACTGGGAGCAGGCAAGACCAACTGTTGGTGTATATACAATTGGCATCAGACTTTCAATATCATCTTGCAGTATTCTATAAAACAGTTTCTCATTTCTTTCTTGTATGCCCATTATATAGATGTATTTTTCTAAAGGGCTAGTCATTTTTTTCAAGTTTCTATGGAATCGTAAGGCTTGAATATCTTGTGTCTCTATTTTGGGAGGCAAAAGTCCTTGAAGACCAAGCATTTGTCGTTCTTGTAACGTAAACGCCATCCCCTTGTTTGTTCGTGGGTTCAACATGAGTGGCTTGCCTTTCTCCTTCAGGTGCAAATGACGACATGTCAAAGTACAAGGAGTGACAACGGCTCTTACCCGGGAAAACATCTTTTCTCTCACCGGACCCTGGCCCGCGCCAGGTGGTGCTGCAGGCAGAGAGGCCGCGGTGCTACAGCCCGTGATGCTCGACCCTGGCGCCGCCTCTCAAGATAAGTTGTTTTGCAGCTGAAGGATTTGTTAGGCTGAGAAAAATGGTACCAAGGTAGGGTGCTTTGAATTAGAAAAGAACCCAAGCCTACCCAGCCTTGCCTTGGTCTGTGGTATTTCGCCCGCTTTCTTCCCTAAAGCTCTGGAACTTTGCCTGCACTCTCTTTATGAGACAGAAACAGTTTTTGAGTTAAACAGTCGCGAACCCTCTCTGTAGACGTCTAATCAGCCGGAGCTGACTCGTACCACAGGCCAGGAAGCTGAAGGCCAAGTCCATGTCCACCTTCTAGAGATTTTAGCACACCCTGTCCCATGTTTGACAGGGAGTTGCTGAGCCACCTCTACACAGGAAGTCAGTGCGCCCCACCACTACTCCTCTTAGTAGTTCCTGGACGCCCGGGGCTCTTTTCCCATCTTATATTTTGATCTCCCAGGCATGTGTAGATGATGTATTTGTGCATGTGTTCTGTGGATCTGTCTGCTATCGCTTTATTTTATACAAATTGAAGTCTTTAGAGAGTCGAAGGTAAATTCCTTTATCCCTACAGACCAAGCACCTTCCTGAGATTGCCACTGAAACAGAGCTTAGACTGGAGCAACACTAACAAAACAGACGTTATCTCAAAGCCACCTTTCTACCTTCACTCGTTCAGTTCTTCATGCCTGGGCCTGGATCCTGGACAGGGCTTCCGTCTAACATCACAATCTAATCTCCCTAGCCCTCAGCACAGTAAATCAATGCACATCTCCTCAGTCACCCCCTATAATGCTTAGTCTTAATTGTTAGCTTGACACAATCTAGGATCACCTGGAAAGACAGGGTCAGTGTGAGGCTGTGGAGCTCAGTCAGCCTGTGGGCTTGTCTGTATCTTAATTATATCAATTGACAGCAGAGGATCCATTGTGGGTGGCACCATTCCCTAGTCTGGAACCTTGAACTGTATAAAAGCACACAAGGTGAGCTAAGTGCAAGCATACTTTAATTCCGTCCTCTGTGTTCAGGCTTTCACGGACTGGGGGTGGGGGAACGCTCATCTTATCACAGCAATAGGGGACAAAACTAAGACATCCATTGTCCCAAGCTACTGCTGTTTCTCACTTCCATCCTAAAGCCAACAACCTTCTATTACTGTTTCCTAAAGTCTACTCTTGTTCCTCTCAGATTGGCTTTCTAACGAGCAGCTGGCTGGACAGTAAAATTTACAACAAGGAAAATCACACAATTTACAAGGCTGTGCATCAATTGAGCCCTTCCTCTCTGCATGCTCCAGACCCTGGCCTTTCTGCCACCCAGAGGGACAAAGTCTTTTCTGTCCCAGAGATCTTCTTCCGTTGCTCTGCCTCCCACACTAGTCTTCACCCCATGCTTATCCTCGCTGGACATTTTAATCAAGATTTCAGACGCCATTCAAAGGCCTTTCCTCAAAGCCAATTCTAGACTCCATCCTGTTCTTCTTTCTCTTGTACTCTGATACTTACCTTAGGTTGATAACATTGATTAAAATGAGTCTATGAGGCCAAGAAATGTCCAATTTGAACACCTTAATAGTGGTAATTCCTGATAGAGATTGTCAATCAAAACTTATGGAAGGAGCTTATTTAGTGTGCTCAGTAAGTGTAAATGAACTACATTTACCAAAATTTCATCTTAAATGCTAGTATGTACGTATGCTTCAATAAAATGAGCATAAATCCATTATCCATATTACCTTTTCATACTTGTCCAAATATTTTATGCCATCAACATCAAGATGACCTGCTGACTTTCTTTCTCGTTCCATCTATTCGATCCTTTTTCATTATTGACGAAGATAAACCTCTGACTCCTAGCAACGTTCAAAGCAAGAAAATCAGGTATAAAAATAGTCCCTAACAGCAGGCCAGAAAAAGCAGTTCGAACGCCCATTAGAAAAGGACATCGACCCTTGATTGATCTAAATAAGAACATTTTATTCTAGCTTTCAGAGTTTTGATGAATCATCATTTGCCATTCCAAAGCCCGGTGTTTATAAATGCAGGGAGGATCCTGATTCAGGGCAAGATTATTCTGTGATGAAGAAATCAGAGACCGGTTAGTGGGAGAATCAAGAAATACTAATAAGGGCAAGCCAAAACACAGCACCAGGCAGTGCTGCCCCATCTCCCCAGCTTCCAGGAACAATCATGCCTGCCTGTAACCAGAGATGACTGGCTTTGGGGATAGATGCTGTGGGTCATGGGGGCCACACACAGGCAGTAGCCCCACAAGCACCAAAGAAACAGAACTATCCAGAAGAGAAACTGTGCATAGATCCCACCATGGAAAGTCGCAGAAACCACCCACGCTTTCACCTTCCCAGACCACAGACACCAAGATCCAAGAGCTTCAAGCATACCACACTCAGCTTAAGTTATATATGTGTGTGTGTGTGTGTGTGTGTCCTTAAGTTTACAAGCCAAGTTCACTTTTACTTTGGCAAATTCCTCAGAAGAATAAATTGCTTTGTTTATTATTTGGGATTTTGAGACAGGGTCTCCCCAAGCCCAGAGTGGCTCCAGCTTGTGATGCGGCTGACAGCCATGAACTCCTGATCTTCTGCTTTCATCTCCCCAGTCATCTCCCCAGTCCTGCTCCAGGGTGGAACCAGACACCGCTAAAAGTGAAACCTTGGTGAAAAGAACTGAAGCACAGCAATTCACAGCAGCAATCTGCACATCAACTTCCCATGTCTGCATCACCAGTGTCTCACGGAAACCTCTTAATTCGGAATGCTACAAAGAAAACGAATGCTGTGTTTTGGATACAATCATCACTGTCAAAACATTCAAGGCAGAGTGGCACTGGATATCAAAACAATAATTATTTGTAAGTTGCATAGAAGTAAACCCAATTTGGATATTAATTTCCCTATTAAAGCTTCTCTAGCCCCGCAAAAAAAGCTACAGCCAACTAACCTGGAGAAGGCATGATATCAAACTGTCAGGCCAAAGGTGATGATTGTGAGAGATTAGCCTGTGTGCTGACCAGAAGAGAGGCACCCCAGGCGGCTACAGACACAGAGGAAGAGCAAGAAAATATGGCACCTTGCTTCAGGTCCTTGGTGGGGGGGTTCAAATCACACCCAAGCATCACTGACAGGGACAGCCTGACCCAGCCACCGGATGGTCCCCTACTGAGACACAGATTCCTACCTAGTCACAGCTCTATCAAAGATCAAAGAGAAATAGGAAGAACCAATGGTCAGGCAAAGCAATGGATTGTGCAAATACACAGAAATTAAAGACAAGCAAGGTCACCTACTGAAACAAAGCCCTCACACCAGTCACCACGATGCCCAGTTACCAGGAAACTGTGATGGAATCTTGGTACTGTTGTAATAAAGCTAGAATACACTTTAAGCCTAAGGAAGGAAACCCCCAAGTGAAGGTTATGGCCACGATTAATTTGAATCTACAGCACACTGGTAGCACATTTCCCCGCATATTTACCGACAATGATTTATTAACACTACACTTTATATGTGCAAAGACATTTCTTAATACTTAAAATCATGAAATGTCCCCCAAGTCGCATCTGTTAATAGTTCAGACAGAATCACAGGGTTCAAAACACATCAACACTTTTAGCAAATAGCACAGCCACGAACGTAGACAGCCAAGACTTGATGTCTGACCTGAATTTTATGGAGGAGAGTTCAGGCGTGGTTATTAGTACACCATACTGCTCCAAGTCTCACACTATAACCCCTTTCCCAAAGGGAAAGCTCCTTGTTCAACTGAAAACATAATTTCCATGACGACGGAAAAATCCACGGACTGTCCCAACCTTGTTTTGTTTTTATTTTCCTTCTCCATCACAAGCGTTAAGTGCCCCATCTGATCAGTCAAATCCAAGAGAGCAAAAGGAGAAAAATCTATAAATGGCATATGACCTGCCAAGAAGTACTTTCTCTTATAGGAAGAAGATGCAGGGTGAGCAAGTGGGTGGGGGAGGGGAGCATCAACGCAGGACAATTTCGCAGCATTCTGTCTCAGGACTCACTCACAAAGGCAGACCTGGAAAATGCTCAAAAGCGTTCAATTGCTTTATTTGTGTAATTTGAAGAAAACCAGCAAATGGCAACCACAGAAACACATTAGAAGCTATTATCTTTTTAAGACACAAATGACAGGCGTTGAAGTAGAATCAGCTAATGGATAGGGCGCTTAGCATGGCCATGGTATCACTTCCTGTGTTGAACAAGAAAAAAATTCACATGCTGCAAAATCCATCCATCTAAAAGGCACAGTTCAGAGGGTTTCTGTGCATTCACAAAGTTGTGCAATAATTACCACTCGTGTCAGACATGTTTGTTTCATTATCCCTCAAGCAAACCTTATACCCATGAGCTTCTTCTACCCTCTAGGGCCACCACCCACAAATCTCCTTTCTGCTCCTGTGGACTTACCTACCATAGACATCTCATCCAATAGAATTAGATGATGCGCGGCCAGTTGTACCGGCTTCTTCCAGCCAGGAAGAAGTTTTCAAGAACCATGAATGTCATAGCCCTCATCAGGGCTTCCTTTCTTATTGGGACCGAACTATATCCCATAATTTATTGATTCTTTTATCAATCAGCGGGCTAATTTTACTTGATTCTCTGCTGGCCATGGTGGGGAGTTGTTTTGGGCATCTGCGTATAAGTTTCTCAGTGACTTAGGCTTTCTTCTCCTTTGGGTGTATAACTGAGAGGGAAATCGCGGGGTAACTCAACACCTCATTCTCTAAGGAACTGAAGCAAAACAAGAGCATCCTGCATTTCCACCGGCAGGGTAAGCTTACCACTTATCTTCAGCCTTGTCTACTCCTGCTCGCTGCCATTCTGGTTTGCTTTTAAATCATATCCATCCGAGTAGGTACAAACTATAATCACCATGGTTTTGATTTGAATTTCCCTAATGGTACTGATCATGTTTTCAAGGGCTAACTCCCAGTTGCGTATCTTCCTTACAGAACAGCTAGTCCCTTGCC